AGCACTTGGCGCCCGAGACCGCGACGCTCTTGACTCTAGATGGCCATGGAAATGTGATCAGTGAAGTAGAAATCAGCAGTGAGCTGATTCAGAAGAATGATGTTATTAAGATTACGCCTGGTGCGAAAGTAGCTTCCGATGGCATTGTCGTCTGGGGCGAAAGTCATGTCAATGAGAGTATGATTACCGGAGAAGCGAAACCGGTAGCGAAAAGGACAGGCGACAAGGTGATAGGAGGAACTATGAATGAGAATGGAGTGTTGCATATTAAGGCAACGCATGTCGGATCAGAGAGTTCTCTAGCGCAAATCGTTCGACTCGTCGAATCGTCTCAGTTGGCGAAAGCTCCTATTCAGAAACTTGCAGACTATATCTCCAAGTATTTTGTGCCTCTGGTTGGTGCTATCATTCCTATTTGTCTACTGTTTTTTGTTTTGTGCTTGATTTTTGTTATCTCTAACAGTGTTTTCTGTACACTTTTGCAGGTAATTTTGCTTTCTTTTCTCACTTGGATTGCCTGGTTTTTAGCTGGAAAGTTGCATTTGTATCCTAAGTCCTGGTTGCCTTCTTCAATGGACAGTTTTGAACTAGCTCTCCAATTTGGGATTTCTGTTATGGTCATAGCTTGCCCTTGTGCTCTTGGCCTTGCCACCCCGACGGCTGTGATGGTCGGGACCGGTGTCGGTGCATCTCAAGGTGTACTAATCAAAGGTGGCCAAGCTTTAGAATTTGCACATAAGGTACATACTTATACACATCGACATCAAGAACACACCCTTTCTTCAAATCTTCCCTATAATTCTTTTGGTCTAATGATACCTTGCAGGTCAGCTGCATTGCGTTTGATAAGACAGGAACGCTAACAATAGGAAAGCCAGTGGTTGTAAATGTCAAACTAATGGACACTATAGTACTTGAAGAACTGCTTGAACTCACTGCTGCTACTGAGGTTTGGTTTTGCAATCGAAAAAAGCTTCAAAATTTCAAAACTCTCGTAACTCAAATGGTCTTTTTCTTGATGTTTGTTGATCAGGTGAACAGTGAGCATCCAATAGCCAAGGCCATTGTTGAATATGCTAAGCAATTCAAGGAAGAACATAACCCCATTTGGCCAGAAGCTCAAGAGTTCATATCCATTCCTGGACATGGAGTGGAAGCCATTGTAAGGAACAAGAAAGTTGTGGTTGGAAACGAGAGCTTGATGATGAACAATGGCATAGAAATTCTTGGGGAAACGGAGAGCTTCCTTGTCGATGCCGAAGGTATGGCGAAAACCACGGTTTTGGTGGCCGTAGATAGAACGGTGTCGGGAGTTATCGTGGTGTCGGATCCATTGAAACCAGGAGCCAAAGAAGTGATCTCCATTCTCAAATCTATGGAAGTCAAGAGCATAATGGTAACAGGTGACAATTGGGGGACTGCAAATTCCATTGCCAAAGAAGTTGGAATAGAAACGGTCATTGCAGAGGCCAAGCCTCAGCAGAAAGCAGAGGAAGTGAAGAATCTTCAGACGGCGGGGCACACAGTGGCAATGGTGGGAGACGGGATCAATGACTCGCCCGCCCTTGTAGCAGCCGATGTCGGGATGGCGATCGGAGCTGGCACGGACATTGCCATTGAGGCAGCAGACATTGTTCTAATGAAAAATGACTTGCAAGATGTTATAACTGCCATTCATCTTTCAAGGAGAACCTTTGCTAGAATTCGCCTCAATTACATTTGGGCTCTTGGTTATAATCTTCTTGCCATTCCGATCGCCGCAGGCGTCTTGTTCCCTTCGACACGGTTTCGGCTACCACCGTGGATCGCCGGAGCTGCCATGGCTGCTTCTTCTGTTAGTGTGGTATGCAGTTCTTTGATGTTGAAGAAGTACAAGAGACCAAAAAAGCTTGATGAAATTGATATTCAAATGAAAGGAATAATAGTTCAATGATGTGTATATTATATTATAAAACGAAAATATTATCAAGATATTTATGAAATAAGAGTTTGAAATTCTCATTGAATTACAATTATTTCAAACAGCCACGTGGTAAGACTATATTGTCACACGTGTCAAACGCGTCTCCTCGAAATTTGAACAGGCTTGTGGGCCCAGCTACCGCTATATATAATCAGGCCCATTTGTTCATCTACTTCCATCCTTCATGTTCGCTGTTTCAATACGCTATCTTCTCAGAAGAAATTTCTCCAGCGTTCGATCTGTATCTTCATCTTTGGTTTTCGATAACCGAATCTTGCCCGATTCGAAGCAAACCCTATTGCATAGTACGCAGTGTTCTTCCGTAACTCGTTTCGTTTCACCGATTAAGTCAGGTTCTTCGCGTCTCGGCTTGTTTTCGATTCGGTTGGATCATACTATGGCTACCCCGTCCCAGACTTCAGTCCATGACTTCACCGTTAAGGTTGGATTTCTTGTGCCTTTTTCATGTTTGCATGAGTTTGTTTTGTTTATAGATCGGGTCTGATTTTGAGTCATGAAAATTTGGAATTTAGGGGAAATGGTTTTATTCTTTCTTGATTTTTCTAGAGAGTACTTATAATCAAACTTTCGAATAATTTCATCTCCTTTTTAGAGAATTGTGCGCGTACGGTATCATTTAGTATGCAGCTTGTTGTGAGAAAGTGTTCTTTCCGTTTATGATTTTCCATTGGATCTATAATTAAGTTGGGGGACTCCGTTTCTTTTTTATTTGCTTCCTGGGCATGTTATTAATTTGTTGGCTTGTTTTAAAACTCGTATGAACTGCTTGTGAATGGCGCCATATTTCACTTTTAACGGTATCTACCTCTGTTTACAGGATGCTAGAGGAAATGATGTTGACCTCAGCATTTACAAAGGAAAGGTCCTCTTGATTGTCAATGTTGCCTCACAATGGTAATGTACACAGTTATTGCTAACTCCTCTGCCGCAAAAACATTAGAGATCTTACAATTTTGTTTTGAAAGTTTTTGAGCTGGTCTTCCCTCTTTGATAATGAAATTTTGTTCAAGTGTTTGAGTTGATGATATTGTGTCATGTCGGTTTCCTGCTATTGTTGATAACTTAAGCTGTCTGTGTAGTCCAAATGGTAGAATTATGACTTCGAGTGCATTTATAATCATGATAATGAACAGTCCGCTCTGTTTTCGAAGAGAAAAATCTCTCTAACCATGATTTATAGAATTATGTCCATATTAGATTCCTATGATTGAACTATTATTTATAGTTTAGGAAATCATAATTATCCATTATTAAATTTATGGGTAGCTATTTTGCTATCGTTTTGCTTTCTTTTTAATAGTCAGTTTTTGATAAACTGCAGTGGCTTGACTAATTCGAATTACACTGAACTGAGTCAACTATATGAAAAATATAAGGGCCAAGGTTTGTTCTAAACATCCTTCTATTCTTCTTCTCTTCAGCTTCAATTCATCCATCAAGTTCATATTTATGATTAACACTGGTTTTCTATTTACAGGACTTGAGATTCTTGCATTTCCCTGCAACCAATTTGGAAGCCAGGAGCCAGGAACCAACGAAGAGATTGTGCAGTTTGCTTGCACTCGTTTTAAGGCTGAGTACCCTATTTTTGACAAGGTTAGATTTATGCTGAAGGCTTGCTTATTTATTATACACTTTTGAGACTATAGAACTGCGAAGCTAAGCATTTCCAAGCTCAATTTCTTGTTCGTGTAGGTGGATGTGAATGGAAACGACGCCGCTCCTCTGTACAAGTTCTTGAAGTCGAGCAAAGGTGGGCTCTTCGGAGATGCCGTTAAGTGGAACTTCTCCAAGTTCTTGGTGGACAAAGATGGGCACGTAGTTGATCGTTATGCCCCAACAACTTCCCCCCTCAGCATTGAGGTAAATCCAATAGTTCTTCGTAAATCGAACTTTATACACACACACACATATCTTTTAATCGAAAATCTAAACTTGAGCATAGCTTACCTAGTTAAAAGGGTTAGAAGGGGGAGGTCGTCTCTAGCCCGAATAATTTCAATTAGTTATGTCAAAATTTGAACTGGGGGATGGCTGTGTTTTTGCAGAAGGATGTGAAGAAGCTGTTGGGAGTTGCTTAGAAAACATCTGAAGGCTGCCTTTCTTTGTGTTTTGATTAGAAACTTGAATAAAGCTGCTGTGTATTTGCTCTGATTTGTATGTGCTTTCTGAATCTTCCATGTACTTAGGAGACTGTAAGTTGAAAATTATGTAATAAGTTTCTTAAGCTTTAATGTAACTGTTGACACTTTGTCTGGGGACATTGATCCCAACCAAATGTAGCTGTTCTTATGTTGGGTTTTGCTTGCTCAAATGTAATTTCTTGGAAAAAGAAAATTGATTACATTAATATCACGACAGGATTTATCTAAAACTGCTTTATCCTGAATATTTTATTTATTTATATTGTTGTTTACAGGAAAGCTCTCTTGGAAGGCTAAAATTTAAAAATATCTTCTGTTCTAAAATGAATTTTTATTTTATTTATAAACATATTTTATTCTAACACATCCTTTCTTCTAATTTGTATTTGATTACATTTAATTAGATGCTTTCTTGTTCTAATTTGTATTTATTACATTTAATTATAGGAAGATCAAAATTTGTTTGCATACATAATTGAGGCTAAAATGGTAATCTGATTTATTTATTTTTATTTCAATAATTTGGAGAGCTTTGTGAGACATGTATTTATAAAACATTTCTCTAGAAGAATTCGTGTAGGCAAGCTTCATGCTTGCCATTAGTTTATAGAAACTGCTAAATAAAATATTATGCTCCATTCTTCTAATTAATAACACTAAACTCATAATTAAAAATTGAGTGATAAGAAATTCAATTTTAAAAATTAGTACTTAAGAGATTAAATCACGAATGAGAAGCTTAAGTATCCATTTAGCCTATTTTATTTTGTTTTTTCTTTATAATTTTAAATTACCGTTGACTAGGAAAAAAACTAAATTGTTAATTAATGAAATTTCACGACGAAGCGTTTTTTTAATCTTGATTCTAATTTAAATTCCAGCTTATTGTCAGTTCACTCTTCTATAATCGCTAATTCTTTGCTTTCGATTGAAGCTCTGCTCTGTTGCTCGCTGAACTTCATCTTTGATCTTACCATGGCGACCCAACCATCGAACCACCCAGAATCCATTTACGACTTCACTCTGAAGGTTTATTCTCGTTCTTTAACTCCTTATTCATGTGTTTTCCGCCGTTTTCCCCTCACTTTGTGTGCTTATTGTTGCAATACTCGGAGAGAAGTTCACTCGTATTTCCATACGAATCGGTGGCGATTCAAATTAACGGTTGTCTAAACTTATCTGCTGCAAAAGAACAATGGTGTGTTTTGAGTTTCTATGCGAACTTATACTTACAAACGACGGGTGGGCATTAGGGACTTATTTTACCCCAATTCTGATGTTTTATTAGATTAACGAAGAATTGAGGGATCGAGGCAAAATTTGGCAAAAAGCAGGTCTCAATTTGTGGATCTTCGTTCTGTATGAATGAAAGGGGGTCTTGTTACCGCTGAATGCATCTTTTTGAATCGGATGTTTTATTGTTGTTTTAACTTGTTTCTGTTTGTAGGTATACCTAGTCCAGCTTCTTCGCTTTTGTGTTCTATTCATAGGAAAAACTTTATTGCTTTTGATATTGGCATGAATTTCAGAAACATTTTTGTGGGCTTGTTTGCAGGATGCACAGGGAAATGATGTCAACCTTAGCATATACAAGGGTAAAGTTCTACTCATTGTCAATGTTGCTTCGAAATGGTACTCTCTCTCTTTTACTTTCGATATCTGCATCTGTTTGAGCTTTGGTTTGAAACATTTATTTCGGTCTTACATTGGGTATTTCAAAGAGAGATAGTTTAACATCAATGTGGGTTGGTCCTATTATTTACCACTTTTCCCTGAGAGTGTTTTTGATTTTCTTTTTTGTCCCTCGCAACAGTGGGATGACAAATTCGAATTACGTGGAGTTGAACCAACTATACGAGAAATACAAGGAACAAGGTTTGCCAATTATCACCGTCTTCGTGAATTATCGCTTACTTAGTATGTTCTTGTTGCTTTTGTTTTTGTTTTGTTTCTTCTATTGAATAATTCTCTGTTGATTCCTATTCCCTTTCTTATTATTGTTTAGCTGAGAAGAAAGCTGTTTAGTGTTGGTATACAATCTCTCAATTATAACTCTCTTTCCATCTAGGCCCACTTTAGCGGATATTGTCATCTTTGGATTTTTCCTTTTGAGCTTTTTCTCAAGATTTTAAAAATGCGTCTACTAGGGAGAGGTTTCCACACCCTTATAAAAAGTGTTTCGTTCTCCTCCCCAACCAATGTGGGATCTCACAGCTACCAACAGGTTTCTACACCCTTATAAAGAATGCATTGTTCTAATCCCAACCGATGTGGGATCTCACAGCTATTAACTCAATACATTACTACCTTGTCTTTAGCCCTTTAGCCCTGGAATAGCTGGCCTTATGTGGAGTATTTCCATTTCTAGCGAGAATGATGGCTTCTAGTACCGTAGCTTAGTTTGCTTTTTGGTTGAGGATATTGCAGGTTTGGAAATACTGGTATTTCCATGTAATCAGTTTGGCGATGAGGAACCGGGAAATAACGAGGAGATCAAAGATTTTGTTTGCAGTCGTTTCAAATCAGAATTTCCAATTTTTGACAAGGCAAGTAGAATATTACTGGGAAAACTTTATGTTACTATATAAGTATAAATTTATCCTATTTTCTTTGTATTAGATTGAAGTAAATGGAAACAATTCTGCTCCACTCTACAAGTTCTTGAAATTGGGCAAATGGGGGATATTTGGGGACGATATTCAGTGGAATTTTGCCAAGTTTCTGATCAACAAGGATGGCCAAGTAGTTGATCGTTTTTACCCCACAACATCACCTCTCAGCATTGAGGTAAACCTGCAACTGACAACTTTCTTTACATCAGAAAGTCTTAGATTTTATCAGACAGGAGAATCGTTATAACTTTAGCCTCTTGATTCTGCTGCTGCAGCATGATGTCAAGAAGCTGTTGGGTATCTCATGAGCTCTGAATCATACCACATGCACGTCCGTATCATCAGAATGCTGCTCGATGGAGATGAACTTCGAAATCTGTAATTGTCCCCGTGGATACTCATAACAGGTCTTGCGCTTGTTACTATATTGATGATTTTTTAGTTTAAAACTTGTAGTGGATGGTTGAAATGTCTGAAATTCCTGGATTTATGATATGTATTATTGAAGATCATACATGATTGACCTGTAGTCTATAGAATTTCAGATAAACATATTGAAAGGATCAAAATACAAATAGTTGAACAAAATTCTAATTCCTATTCCATTCCAGTTTTGATTCTAACCAACACCACCATATAATTCTTTTCATCTTAAGTAGAAGCCCTTGAAAAGGAAATTGAAATGAGAAACTCTGATGTATAACTTAAAATTACATCTTAGAACACAACATAATATCCTATGGCTCCCTAAAATTTTCATTAGATGGAAAATTTCTGCTCAGACAAACATGCTTCTCCCTCCTGCTACAGCTGCCCTGAAATACTACCCGCAAAAACCAGAAACTCTGTCCAATAAAATCAACATTGACTTGAGAAACTTGAAATGAAGCCTCTTGCTACATACCATGTTAGCATCGAATCTGTTAACCGCTGCGAAAAGAAGTCTTGACACAATGAAAGGTAGTCCTCACAAGGTTTGGTTCATTTACAACAACACATATGTACAAAATGAACATGTGTCTGTTGCAATATTTCATCATCCTCGTGTCAAATCGATTCCAGTATGAGGGTTTCTCACATCGACTGAACGGGAACCAGGCCAGACACCAATTGCAGAAGGATTGTATGTTTGAGCAGATGGGGCACTCGACGGCGAAACCAAATTATCATGATGATCATTTTCGGAACCGTCATTGCTTCTCAGACCAGCGACCTGCTTATTCTTGATTTTTGCACCATAAACAAAGCTACAAGCAACTACCTGCAAGAGAATAAGTTTGATAATTAAATAACTTGAGGCTTCACCATGATAGGGATTTTGCAGATGCAAATTATTATCGAGCCAAAATTATAGCAACATGTAATCTAGTTCACTGGCAAGGCCATGTTGCCTTGATAATTCAATGGGATGTACCTGAACAGGGCCAGCCGCTGTAAGAACGGCAACTCCACCACCAATGACATGACCATCAGGACTAGAGAGGGAAACACTAATACCGCCCGTCCTATTTCGAGGACCACCATCTTCAGCCACCAAGTAAGAACCAGTCAAACACAATATGTGGAAATGACCCTGCAAAACCCAAACATGTTTCATAACAAGGAAAATAACATTGTTGCATCATCTTAAATATTGTTAGCTAAGGACACTGAGAGGAACATCACCGTTAGCCAACAACAAAATGGCAGTTACTGTTTACAATGAAATAATACAATAATCACTCCCACTCTGGCACCAAGAAGTAATCACTCCACATAACGAAACAAGCGACATAGACGACCAACTCAATGAATCCACCACTATGCCAGAACCTGCTAAAACTAAAATTGAGTTTAAATCCACCACATTGCCTTAGCTGCCTTCCACCCTAAAGAATTGGGAGAGATTTTTGGAGGCGTTCAGGTTGTCCTTAGTTCAAGTTCAGAATGGTCGGACAATGATGGGAGAAATCCTTATTCACCTTCCTTTGAGATGGAAAGATTACATTGGCGTACCAAAATTTAGGTTGTATAATGAAACATTTGGTTTTAGAGATATAGAAACGTTTACACAAATAAAGAGAAGTCTTTAGATGGGTTTTATAGATTTATGAGCCCAAAAGGTATAATCATCTATCAAAAAGTTAGTTCCCTTATTTTAAGATTGTTCACTATTCGACCACAGTCATAGTCCAACATGATCGTACTTGTGTCGAAGTTGGAAAATGGCAAACTAATTGAATCACTGAGAGCAAAATTCAGATCCTATGCTTATGGTCAAGGCAGAAATTGCAATTACTCTACATTATTCTATGGGAGTTTTTTGGTCTTACTGTAGTTGATGACAGTATTCCTATTGATGATAGAAAAGAAATTCAAAGTTGGAAACAAAATGAGACAAAAAGGCAGTCCAAAGTCATCTTTTTGTAAGAAACAACGTTTCATTAATAGGGACGAAACATCATACAAAAGAATAACTGAATAAGTAATCTCATATGCAGACCTATGAAAAAATTGCAAGATTCATATATTGTTGTATAGAGGCATCAAAGTGATGTGATTTATCGTGAAGAGAATAAGTAAAATCAAATAAAATAATTCTTAAACCTCATATGTGACGCTCACGCCAGTAGATGCAGGCTGACGCAGTGTAACAGAAGAAACGGTACCATTGCCCGACATGATGCAAACAGCCCTTGGCCTCTGCTGTGCAAACGACAATACTTTATCTACAATATCCTGGAAACAAAGATACTAATTCAAATGCTTAATTTCCTTCCTTTTTTCTTGGAATGGGGAGTGGGAGAGAATGGAAATTTAACATGCTGTGTTCCCCGCCTGTAAATATTGCAACCTAAAGAAACCAAGGTAATGAAAATAAGGTTTTCCTTTTACATGGAAGAATAACTATTTTCAGCTACTTTCATGGCTGCATATTTCAAGGAACTCAAATTAATATCTAATAAAGAAACACTTGAAGCTACGCCATTATGCATCAGATCTCATTCCATATTTACAAAAGAACTATTTTGAAAAGGGCTATAACTGAACACATAATACACTTGAAATTAGTTGTTTGAAGTATTAAAAGGTTATAGCATACTTCTCCAGCTCCAACGTGAATGACATGTGGAGCAAAAGCTAGTCCAGCTGAATTGTTCATCCACTCACCTGACAGAACACGAGTAGAAGTGAATAATCATGACCATAGCCTTCTCTGACATGTTTAAGAGACAATATAAACGTTTTGGCAAACTAAAAATGAACAGTACATGATGACTTGCATTAAACAATGGCCATGCTGGACAGGTAGAATGCTTAACTAGTTGAACAAGCATGCACATTGAAACTAAATCAGAAAAACGAAGTAAAATCTACCAAGGAGAGCTAATTGCTGTTTCCTTCCAGAGCCAGGCGGCCGCCCTCTTCGTTGTCTCGGGGTTGAGGAATTCGAGCCTGGAGTGAGCTTAGAACCAGCAGACATGGGAGACAGACCCAATGAGACCGGCCCATCCGGAGCATATTTCCTTGGCCTCCCCCTCTTTTTCTTTACAGGTTCACCAGAGTTCACTCCAGGTGAGACATTCATACTAATCCCACGAAGGTAATTGGAATGAGATGGCTCAACAGCATACGTTGGTCCAACCGAGTTGCCTCTGAGATTTGAGTGGGACAAAACACCCTGGTTAGCCATTGGCCGGAATACAGGGGAGGCATGTGATCCAGCCGATGGCAGCCCTGATCCAGAGCCACCAACCCCTCCTCCCCTATGTATGTAGTAAGAAGCAGAGCCGCCAGACAATGCCATGCCGTCCCTCCCATCCATTCATTTACTTGCAAGAATAGCCTCACAGAAGAAAGACTCGTGTGGTCTTAACAACAAAGAAAATGCTTTTCTCCAGAAGTGTTTTCAGAAAACTTCAAACCCAAATCTCTAACCATAACAGAAGAGGGAAGAATTCCAGTCGAAAAGTTCAAGCAACAGGTATTGACTGAACAAGAGCTGTTTTTACAAGACACCCTCGTTAGAAGTAGAAGAGAACATGTGAAGAAAAATGTGGAAATTTTCAAACTCCCAGAAGACTACGAAATGAATGAAAGAAAAGGGTTTAGCAGGGGTTTAACAAGAGAGGGAGAAGTGCAAGACAGACCCAGAACGAGAAATTAAACTTAAGAGAGACAGAAATAAAAAAAAATAAAAAATAAAAAAAGGAGAGAAAGAAGAAAGAAAAGGCATTAAAAGAAAACGAAGGTGAAACCGAAATGGGTTTGAGCAGAAGAGAGAGAAACAGTGGGACTAAGACGAGAAATGCAGAGAAATGAGGAGGAAGAGATGAGAAGGGAGGAAAAGGAGAGGAAGTTGAAGAAGGAGAGGAGAGTGAAAGAGCGATGAAACCCTAGATTTGATTGAAAATCTAGGGTTTTGAGAAGGAAAATGCAGGAGGGTGGTGGAAAAGAAGATAGGAAAGGGGGAAAGAAAGAAAAGACAAAGGGAGGGAGGGGGAGGGTGGAAGGGAATGGAATGGAAAATGAAAAGAAAAGGATGAGCTTTTGAATTAAAGTTGAAAGTGGGGATGTGAACAACAACAGTACAAGTGTGAGTATGAACTCAGAGCGAGAGCAAGAGTAGGAAGTAAAGCCATTGTCTTTATCACTTTTTTCTTTTTTTCTTTTCCTTTTAATTTATAATCGGTATTATTTATTATTACAAAATAGTCAAATGAAAAAAAAAAAAAAAAAAAAAAGGGGG